AAAAATAAAAAATATATTACTTTTCTAAAACAGAAGATACTATCAGACTGTTTTACTTTGCCTTTTTTGCAGTGTGGCTCCAGCAAGACACTGTGTGGATGTTTGAACTGTGTTTTTTCAGGGTCTGGATGATGAGAGTCAGGACAGAGGGAAGCTCCTGGGCACTTACACCTATGACGAGGATGGAGAAGCTCTACAGACCTACCCTGTCACTGTGAGTACAGCCATGCACATGATGTGAAGGAAGGTCATTTTTAATTTGTGATTTAAAGGGGAGCTATCAATCAATAAAGTAATCCCTATGAGCTAAAAGCTCAGATTTCAGATGCCCCTGAATGCAACGTTTCCAATGTTACAGGACAAGCGTGTAATATTTATAGGTATGTTTTCATTAGTGTATAATCCTGAAAATAGGAACCACCCACCTGTCACGCAAAGAGGCCATGCTCTTGATTATACATAACTTTAAGGCTAAATATGATTTCAGAGGGGTAAAGTTGTATTGTGTGTGTGTATGTATGTATGTACTCTATAAATTAAAAATATATAAAAATGTAATGATGTAAAAGTGTGCCAATACGCTGATGACACCAAACTATTCCTATAAATGTAACTTTCACACTTACCGTTTTTCTTTTCGTCCTGGTCAGGAGGAGAGTGACCGAGCCTTCCAGATCATCGAGGTACAGGTGTTGTCCAACTGGGGCCACCCGGAGTATACCTGCATGTACCGCTTCAGGGTGCACGGGACGCCCGCAAACGTGTGAGGACGCTGCATAGATGATGTCGGATTATTCAACACACAAACAGTGCGGAGGCGGCAGAGACACAGAACATTGATGTAGACGTCACCTTCCAGCTAACTGCTGCTAACTGTGCCTGATAGTCTCAGTGACTGTAAACTCACTGCTTCCCTTCCTGACCAAATGTGACAATGTCTGAGTGTCGCCATTTCCTGTAGAAATAGGCGTATATATGTATAATTTTTGTCAGTAGTTAATATTTTTTATACCAATGTTGTTTTGTGTTTGCTGTTTTAAAGATCCTTCGTGTTTTAGCCCATTTTTCTGTGTCGTAATAAAAAAGCTGCAAGCAGAAAATCTTGAAAGTGGAACTACTTTTGGTCGCTGTAATTGGTCTTCCTGCGTAAACTGGTGGTGAAAATATGATGTGATTTAAAGCAGCAGACAGATGAAGTGGAAATCAACCAAAGTTTTGGTCTGCTTTTGGCAGCTTTCAGAACGATGCTAATGCTACAGCTGTAGCTGTCTGGTTGTCAAGAGGAGAAGGAATTTACTGGTCAAATGAAATGAGAGGTTTTTTTGCACTCTGTAAAAATTCCTTTTTTTTTTTTATCGAGCACTGTTGGGAAATTATTTTGTTTTTTTACAATAAATATTTGTGGTTTTGTATGTGATTTCAAGCTGAAAGTAATAAAGATGTGAATTTTTTAATAAAAGTGTAAAAGGGTTGGTGTGTGAATTGATGACTGGGATAAATGTTAATATGTTTGAGCACTGGCTCTAAATTTGACAGATTCACTGATTAGGAAATAAGTTCTAAATCAAATTCACAAAATGCTCCATCTTATTTGTAACCATCATTGACAGACACAGACATCAAAGGTCTTTCCTAATTGCAGCTGGCTGGCCTCTTTTCATAGAAGTGAAACAAACAGGACGCAATGTGAACATGAAAATACTGAAACATGGTAAAGAAATATCACTTCAAGTCCACACCCGACGGTGAAGACCTGAAGCATGCCAATGTTTCTGTTGCGGTTCTGAGGTTTACATTCAGGTGTTCTTTTAATATGTTGATTAGATTGAATCAAATTAGCAGAACAGAATTACAGGTAGTTGTAATAAAAAAACTGATGCATCATTTACTGTACATGCTCAATGCTGGTCCAGCTGAACCTGGAAATACATCAAGCTTTGTTTTAGAGGAATTTGTCTTGCTTTGGAAGAATGAATGTTTTAATGTTTATTTATGGCATAATTATTTGTAGCCTCTTTCCAGCCCTCTGCATTGCTGCCCTTATCGCTTAGATCCACGTCACAGCTTCCCATACATGCTCACTGCTGGTCGGGTCCATCAGCCTTTTTGGAGGGTTAGTAATTTACTTACTTACTTACTTAATTTAGTTACCAATTTGAGGTCAGTGCTTTAGATACAGGGAAGAGGTTATTGATGTAGATACATTTCAGAGGTCAGTTTAAGTGAAGTCCAATAATTTGACCCTACAAGCAAGCAATTTCTCTTCACTCTTTATTTCATGTGCTTTTTCTTTTTTTCTTCTCTATGTTTTTGGACCGCATAAACTCGCACATTGTGCAGCTCTAACTATAAATTATTTTCACATCTTATAAAAGAAGAAAAGATCTCATAACTAGAGGATAAACTATCGGCTTAGATACTATACAGTTTCTGAATATTTCAGCTCACATGTTTTGGTCAAAGCATCATAAAAGTCCAACCACTTTAGATGCCTGCGGACACTCACACATAAATAATAATTAATTCAATTCAGTTCAATTCAAGAGCGTTTTATTTGAATGGGAAACTGGCATTTACGTTGCCAAGGCAAGTGTGAATAAAAAAGAACAAAAACAAACATATACATAAACAGCATTAATACTAATATTCCTACCCTCCACATGACTCAGTGACCGATATCTGTCTTAAAATGAGGAGGAAATACTTCAGTCATGTCGTCGTCAGACCTGTGGCTACACACCATAAAATCTAAATGTTTGATTTCACATATTAATCATTCATAATAGGTAGACAAAGTTAATTTTCTATTCAAAGAAAAATCAGTTTAATATTAATTTGACTTGTTAAATATCAGACTTGCACTGGATCAAAGCACAAATTATAGACATTGCAGTTTCTGATAACAGATCCTCAGTAATGTTACACACTGGACCTTTAAGCTAAATTTGTACCAAACAAAATAAATCAAAACAATTAAGTAAAATTCATACAAACAAGCAAAATCCTTAATTGTAAAAATATACAAAATCCTTAAAGAATAATGTATTTCAGAATAATCTTTTGTTATATTGGTTAAATCCTCTTTACATCCCGACAGCAATCAGTAATTTAAATGCTCTGAACAAAGAAAAACAATCTGGTATCTGTGGCTGTTGCAGGCCTGTAATGAGCCCATTGTTTCAATTAGATACTTTCAAAGTGTAACCGTCTATTACTGGTTTTTCTAAAGTTACCTATTTGAGCCTTAATCACAGAATGTAAAAATAAAATTCATACAAAATAACCAAAATCATTATTTACAAAAGGAGGCAAAATTTGTATGAAAGAAGCAAAATCCTTAATTGTAAACAAATAGGCAAATTATTGAAATAAGGAAAATCCTCAATCACAAAAATTATCAAAATTCTTGATTTCAAGACCAAATATTTATTTCATATTTTTGCTTTAAAAAGTTCTCACTAAGAAGATGGAATTGGTGTGAAACCTTGTACTCTGTTTGCTAACTACATGACTTTGTCATTCACTGTAATCTAATAAACA